ATGCAACGTAAAAGAATGAAATCCGCGGGTTTTTGGCATGTTGTTAAACTAATATTGACGATCAAAAAATGATGATAGCTTTTGATTTGGTCAGAAAAAGAAGGGTATATTCGATGGAGGCTATATCTTTTTGTGTTTTGAAAGAACTCGAGGTTTTAACCCCCCATAAATCTTGATTTCTTGAGGATTGCCAATTAAAAGTTTAAACATGTTTAGTTATGAGTTTTCTTTAAGAACGTTATGCATGCATAAATCTTGAATGGGCGCTACTACTTATAATGAAAACCCTAATCTTAGGTATAGAATTTCTCATCTTGAATTCTTTGTCAACATAAATATGTCAACTTTTTTAGGTTAGGGTTTTTGTTATAAGAAAGAAATACAAATATCTTGAAGTCTTGATGTGTTCTGCAAGAATATAACTCAAGATTCGTTTACTTTTGTTAGGGTTTGATTTAAGAACCTAATATCATAAATCTAGCTTGAATTTTGTACGAGTGCCTCAAGAAAGAAAATTCCAACCTGTTTGAGTATTCTTTCTTACATGTTCTTTTATAATTTAATGTACGCCAAAATTCTATGTATAAGTAATTTTATATTTACATAGATATGTTATCAGATAGACGTTCATTGTTAATTCAATATATATATATATATATATATATATATATATATATATATATATATATATATATATATATATATATATATATATATATATTGATTTTCAGTTAATATTTTATGATTATTAAACATATTTGTGTAGGTGTGTCACACACATGGAGTAATGCATCGTGATTTGAAACCTGAAAATTTCTTATACGCTCACAAAGGAGAAAATGCATCTCTAAAAGCAATCGACTTTGGTCTCTCTGTATCCTTCGAGCATGGTATATGCCCTTGACTTGATATGTATCAATAGTTAATGGTTTATATATTTCGTTATTATTTCTTACTTATACTGATTTTTTGTAGGCCAAAGGTTTAGAGAAGTCGTCGGAAGCCCATATTATATGGCACCGGAAGTACTCAAACGAAATTATGGGGAAGAAATCGATGTATGGAGCGCCGGTGTCATTCTATACATCTTGCTTTGTGGAGTTCCCCCATTTTGGGCAGGTACGCATGCCGTATGATTTCAAATATTTTGTTTGAATGGCTAATTCTTACACATACACAACTCTACTTCAAAATCTACATTTTGTCTCAAGCGAGACTTTTACCCTCAACATTTGATTAAAGGGCACCAATCTAACGTTACCTTAACTGCTAGAACAAATTTTGGTCCTAAAGATGTTACAAAGGTCAATGAACTATGCAAAAAAGTTACATCGGACTACGAAAACAACAAACTAGATTGTTACTTGATTGGGCCAAAGTGATGTGGAAAACTATTAATGCTTATTATGCTCTTCAATTAAATGCTAAAATTTAAATCCACTAACTGAAAAATGATATAAACTTGCTAGTTTTCCAAACCTATATACATGTTTAAATAGTAGACAACTAACTATATAAAACCAATATAAAGTTTCTACATCCTTAAATTAGATTTATGGTATAAGGGTAAATGTTATCAAAAATTGGGAAAGAAAGTATATTTGGTTTTGCTAATCGAGTATGGTTCATTGATATTTGATGGATTACTTGTAGTTCACTTTCCTTAACAAATATTTCTACCTTATATTAAGGTATCACATAATTCAGTAGGAGAGAATCCACTAAATACACTTTTAGATTCAAATACACAAGAGAAATATATGTATTTTTCTATATATACTCATTATATTAAGGACTAATGAAATAAGGATTTACAACATTTATTTGTATTTTTCTGAAAAAACTGTTAGGCAAATTGAGTTGTTTGGGAAAAATTAATCATATAGTTAGGTTGCCTATGACAACTTGAGTTGTTTGAGGCAGTTTGGTTGACGAAGGTAATATGGGTATCCAGTTGTACTACCTCACAAATTCATATCTCTTGCCCAAACCGTAGCGATGCCTTATAATGTTGCAAAAGGACGTACCCCCTTGAACCCCAACATTCGTTGTGTTCAGGATCAAAATTAGCGTATACAAGTGTGCACTCCACACCATCTAACTTGTTTTAGATCATTGTTTGAGTACCCGTTAGCACTTGTATAAATTCTAAATACACTAAATGGCCATGTAAAACTACAATAACCAAAAAATCAGCATATCTAGACGCCTTCACTTATCAGTGTTACTACCAACACAAGAACATTAAATCACAAGTTCCTTATTATAAGGAAGCCGATGCTTATATTTAGAGCGAAAACTTGTCTCAACAAACATTACACTAGGATGTCTTCACTAGTCAGTGTTATAGTTCTCACTTGGAATTACCCCATAACCACTTTTGAGAAATTATGAAAATCTATATGCCTTTCTTCTATTATAGGATGTATGTTTGTCTAATTACATCAACATCATTTTTGGATTAAGGTTCATTATTGTTAGTCTAAAAAAGTATTTGTAATTGTTAACTATATTGTGGACCTTTGTATATTGAATTTAATTTTGAAACAACTACTGCCTTTGTTTATTCACCACCCTAGTACCTTATGTTATAGAATATGATGAAGAACATAAGCAATAAATAATAAACCATAAAACAAATATAAGGTGGAAATCAGTGTATGAAAATCCACATGATATTATAATTTTAAATTATGAAGAATCAATAAAGAAACAAGGTATTGCATTGTTGCAAAATTCGATGGTACATGTTAGGATGTTTAGAAAAATTGAAACAGTAGTCTATATGACATGTTAATAGGCCTCCTAAAAGGACTATAATAACATCTAAACACCTAACTAAAAGGAAACCTATCTAAAAACTAGTAAACTTGGAAACCACATAACCAAATAGCCATGTATAGGAATTTAAATCAGCATGGAACAAACTTCACCTTAATAAGAAGTCCATATCTAGTAGAGAAACTCTAAACTTTCATATAAGTGGATTATGCAAGTAGTAGAAAAAGAACTAAGGACTAAACATGACTATCAACAAAGCTAAAAAAAATTCAATCCGGGATAGCAAAAATGGCTTTTTCATCATATCAGTGAGGATGTCACTAGATTTGATCTTACTTGACTTGGTATTGCCTTGAGCAGTCTCTGATATAATGTTGTCTAATCTCAGTATGCTTCATGCTTTCTCATGGAACATGGAATCCTTTATAAGGAATATAACACTTTCACTTTCGCACAATGCAAGATAAGTCACAACAAAGTACCTTGTATTAAATCTCTTAACTAGGTGGCTTATTCACATCATTTAATAACAGCCATATAATTTGATAAAGTTTTTGACAAATCCATAATAGATTGCAGTGTAGCCTTTCAACTTACAACACAATCATCAATAGTGAATAGATAACTCGTGGGGAATCTTCTCCAGTCTAAATCATTTATATAATGAAATTCGACCTATATATTTAACCTTGTTATCGGTTTTCTAAACTCCAAACAAGTAGCAGAAGTACCATGACGATATCTATAAACCCATTGATCTTTTCATAAATAAGCCAACAATACTCATGGCATGAGTTAAGTCGAGACAAGAGCAAATCATGACCTACATAAGTGAGCCAACAACAATGGAATAGTGTGTCATGGACAAATAACTTATTTTTTATTGTTTGAAGGGAAACTTTTGATGATATCCGAAAATGGACAACTAGTGGTTTCTAACTTATTTGGCATTTTGCATACTTAATCAATGTAATATTTTTTCATACACACACACACTCTCTGAAGTAGGTATATTTTTTCTAATTAGTATGTCCATGTTACTTTCCATTCTATTAGTCTTCTTTACATCACCCATACCTTTCATCTCATATTCACTACCCACCCATCCTTTGAGTTTTTCAAAATTTCCCTCATCTTCTTAAAAAATCGACATATCACCAACATAGAGAAGTACGTAAACAACCATGTCACTGTTAATTTTCAGTTACATAAAACTATGATATTGAGATCTTCTAAAATTTTATAATAGCATGAAGTTGTCAAACTTCTTGTATCATTGTTGGGAAAATTGCTTTAGACGATAAATGGAGTTCTTTAATATGCAAAAGATATTCTCTTTTTTTGGAACAATAAACCCTTAAGGTATACCCATTCAAGAAAACAGTCTTAACATCAAGTTGTTAAATCTCTAAATCTTACATACCAACTATGATGAGTAATGCATATCTTGGGTTATGCTATAAAATAGGTAAAATATTTCATTGAATTTGACCCATGAATTTGGTGATAACCTTTTGCAACTTGTATGGATTTAAATATTGCATAATCTAATTGTGTAATACCTTCCTTCTTCTTAAATACCCATTTACAACGAATTTGGTTCATTTAATTATAAAGTTTTACAAGATCCCATGTTTGATATTTTTCTAACGTCTCCATTTCTTCATGTATAGCTTTCATTAATCTATTAGAATTATCATAAGTAATAGCCTCAAAGTAGGATGATGACTCAATATAGTTTTCGATTTTGTCAACTACCTAAAAGGCATAAGAAAAAAATGCTTATTGTATCAATAAACATTTTGGGAGGTATGATATTCCTCCTAAGTCTATCAATTGCGATCGGTTGTGCCTAGGAATCATGAAAAGTCTATAATGGTATGTTTTTCGCAGTTGGAATGTTGTTCTAACCTTTAGTATTACCTTTAACTTAATTAATAGTGTGCTCCAACTTAATACAAGAGCTATGTTCTAAATCTCTAGGTCTGAGAAGGGATTTTTATCCTTAAATTGATCGGGTTAGGATCATAATAAAACATGATGGTTTGACAGTAGTTTTGTTGATCACAACCTTCCTTGATTCAGGATCCAATAACTTCTAATCATTGACGCTAAATTTATAACCAAGGAAGATACATTTTATGGCTCTTGGTTTTAGTTTCCCATTGTCGACATGAGTATAGGTGGTGTACCAAAAAATTCTCAACTTCAAGTAATATGTAGGTGAACCGTGCCATACTTTAATTAGATTCATTTTTTAAAGGGTATACAAGGAGATCTATCATTGAGACAACAAGTTGTAGAGCGTGCCTCAACCCATAATCGATGAAATAGATTTGAGTCATATAACATTCAATAGGGTTTGAGATAATTTTCATGTTCATGTCTTTGGCTACACCATCTTGTTGATGAATATAAAGAACAATGTAGAGTATGATGATGTCTTTGGGTTTTTAATATGAATCAAACTCTTTTGAATAAAACTCCATACCATTATCAGTATAAAGATTCTTTAAATCATGGTTTACATTTTAATCATAATATTTCAATCATTGAAGATGGAGATCATATCATATTTTCGTTACAAGATGTAAGGACACATTCTCTTTGAAAAATAATTGATAATTGTCATAATATAACTAGCACCTCACGCGATTTGTTTTGACATAATCAATAATCAAGAATGTCCCATAGGTGATGCTAAAAATGTAGTTCCTGCATAATTTAAAGTTTTATTTGTTATATACTTCAAGGATACTATACCATTTAAATGAGTTACAGCTCACTCACACATGTGGCCGCATCAATAATGTCATATCTTAGCATCATCTGATTCGATCGATTTTGCAAGTATAGTATTAGGAGATAACATCGAAATCATAAGAATGGAAGAACCTATAATATAACATATAATTATAGCGCCTCATACATAGTAGAGAATATTAGACTTCCTCATATAATTTTTTTCACAACTAGGGAACCTTTTTTTATATTTAAAACACCATCTTCACATACTTGTAACCGTTATTGTCATAGACACTTAAAGAGATTAGATTTCTCTTTATATTGGGACTGAAATTACTATCAAATAAAGTTTCAATAGTGTCATCGCACAACTTGATTTGGGTAATGTCAATATCTTCAATCTTGCATTGGGAATCATTGAAGACAAGAACTAAACTAGAGTTGTGAATTGGTTCAAATATGGTGAACCAATATTTGTGAGGACACATATGGTAAGTGATATTTGAATCGAGAATGAATGCCATGTTCATTTTGCAAACCCAACAACAACCACACGGGCCTACAAAACTGTTGTCACATGCACAATTTGTAGAATTATCATCTTCTTTACCTTGTGATTTATTTAAGTCTTTTATACTTTCTTTATTATGAAGCTTGTAGCATTCATATATTTCAAGCTCGTCTTTCTTTCAATATCTATAAGTCTTGCCTTTACCCTTAGAAATCAATTCACATTTCTTGTCTGGGGAACCTTTTTCCTTTGAAGTTCCTCAAATAGATAAACCCTCGGCTTAGAGATTGTTGGGACCATCAGAAGATACCATCCTCTTCATCTTTTCCTTGGCGTGTAAGGCTTCATAAACTTTACTAAAAGTAAGATTATCATGATTGTAGAGGATAGTATCTTTAAAATTTGAATATTATCTTGGAAGTGAGCATAAAAGAATCAAACCTGAATCTTCTTTGTTGTACTTGTCTTCCATGGTAACCAAATTAGACACAATCTCTTTGAAGTTGAATAATGGTTGAGCAAGTTTCCTCCATTTTAAAGTTTATGTGGAAACAACTTCTTCTTTAAATTCCTTTTACTACTAAGATCTTTCTTCATGCAAAGTGCAACATTCTTTTCTTTAAAACTTCCTATAGGATATTGTTGTGAAGATGGAGTTAGACTTAGGCATGGCTTTGCGTCTTTTCTTTTTCACTTTTTCAGTACAATATGTATGTATTTTTCTTCCAAAAGTATCTAGTGCATCATTTATATGAGTTTGAGACAATAATGCTCTCGTCTTCACTTGACCTAAATAAAACATGTTATCACGATTGGCGGTGGAATATCATACTACATAGAACTCAATTACAACCTTTTACATGATTATGAGAGAAGTAACTTTAAAGTTTTGTAAGTTTTGGAGGGAAAATTTAGTTGCATCTTAAGAGTTCTAAAGGGAAAATCCATTTAGGCAAGCGGGTTTAGCAAGAGAGAAATCGATTAAAGCCTTTATATGTGTTAAGAAAATATTGATTAGCGTTACCCACTTGTTATTGAATATGATGAATAATAGAAGCGTAAGAAGAAACTAGGACACAGTAATTGGGTGGGAACCTTCGTGGGAAAATCCAAAAGGAACTAAAACTTGTATTATATATGAAAAATTAATGAAGGCAGAAGGTATTACATGGTTGTAGAATTCAATTGTGAGTGAAAAGATTTAGAATAAATGAAACAATGATGTTTATGTTCTGACCACCATTTATATGTTAAAAGCCTATAAATTTATGTTTTGACCACCATTTACATGTTTAGAGCCTATATATCTCGCCGAATTCAATGTGAAGAAACTAGATTCCATATATGAGTGAGCATCATTTGAGATTTTATAATTGAAATAAATAAACTTATTCGGTAGATTATTGTTATCTGTAAATTGAACATATAGAAAGTTTCTTGTTGCAGAGACCGAGGAAGGAATTGCACAAGCAATAATCAAGGGTGACATAAACTTTGAAAGGGACCCTTGGCCAAGGGTCTCCGAAGATGCCATAAACATCATAAGGGGCATGCTCGACCAAAATCCATATGATCGGCTCACTGTGGAAGAGGTCCTCGGTATGTACTTCATGCTTATTATATTGTACATTCAACTGCGGAAACTAGTAATACGACCTTCTTATGTGGCCATAGAAAACAAATGGATTCAAAATGCCCACAAGGTTCCCAACATTCCTTTGGGAGAACACGTACGAGCAAGAATTCAACAATTCTCTTTGATGAACAAATTCAAAAGGAAAGTAATTAGGGTAAGTTTTTTTACTTAATTTTCATTGGAAATTTTTCAAAAAATAGCAACGTAATTTACTTTTCCTATCAATATTGTATTTTAGTTTTATCCATGATAATAAAATATTTAGGCGGCGTTTGGTTCACAGAATGTTTTTGAAGGAATTGGAATCTGCTGAGGAATTGGAATCTGTCTTGAATTGGAATCCAATTCAATATTCTGTTTGGTTAGCAGTAAATGGAAATTGAATCCAATTTTATATTTTGTTTGGTTGGCGGAAAATGGAATTGGAATAGTGTAAAATGACAAAACTACCCTTCTTGGTTTTTGATTACTTTTACATTGTTTTATAATTATATGTAGAGATATATTATATAAATTATAAAAATAGTAAACAAGTGGTGGTGGCGGCGGCGATGGTGGCAGAAGCGACGGTGGTGGTGATGGACGCAGTGTGTGGTGGCGACGAAGGTGGATGTGGTGGTAGTAGTGGCATCACTAGTGTTGATGGTAGAGGTAGTGGTGGTTGTGGCGGTGGGTGTTAGTGGCGGCGGTGGTGGTGGTGGGTGCGGGTGGCGGCGATGATGGTGGTGGTGGTAATAGAAGTTGTAGTGATCATAGAGTTAGTAGTAACAACGGTAGTAGGGTGGCAGTGTAGGTGGTAACGAAGGTTATGGGTGGTGGTGGTGACGGTGGTGGTGGTAGTGGTGTCGGCGATGGCGATGGTGGTGGTGGCAACGGAAGCGGTAGTAGTGGTGGGTGGTGGCGGCGAAGGTGGTGGCAGTGGCGACGACATCAGTGGTGATGGTTAGTGGTGGTGGCGGTGGTAGTGGAGGTGGTGGATAGTGGTGACGAAGGTTGTGGTGGAGTTGGTCGCGAGTAGTGACAGAGGTTTTTCATATTTAATGTTAAAAATGAAAAGGGTAATATGGTAATCTTCAACATTCCCACTTGAAGGAATTTTAATTTTCTAGTCTTTTAGATGAAATTTATTTTCCCTCAGTGGAAGGAAAGTTGGACACATTTAGGAATCCAATTCCTTCTCAAAACTTGAACCAAACATAGGAAACTGAATGAATTAAATTTCAATTCCTTCAGATTCCAACAGATTAACCAAACGACCCCTTATATTCTTTACATATATGATAATAACGTACTTATATTTTGTTATGATAGTAGCAACTTGTAAACTGCATGCTTAATTGCTATATTATAGTTAAAATTAAAAAAAAAAAAATAAGTGTCTTGTTATTATGGGTCAAAATAAAGTACATCTTATTAGTATTGAACTATGGAAAAACTATAAATATGTTGTTATTTTGGATACAATACAAAATAAGTGAATAACAAATGACATCCTTGTTATCATAAAAAGTCAAAGTGTTTGACCTTTTTAGGGTTTGAACTCAGGTGGTAGCAGAAAACTTGCCAGATGAACAAGTACATGGATTAAAACAAATGTTTGATGATATGGACAAGGACAAGAATGGATCACTCACCTTCGAAGAGCTTAAAGATGGTTTGTGTACGATTGGAGAACAACCGCTTGCTGATCCTGATGTTCAGATGCTAATGGAAGCTGTAAGTACCACTTTTGATTCATATAATTCACCAAAGTCGTATAGCTTACAATCCGCATACTTGATTGAAGGCTGATCTTGATGAAAATGGGGTCCTGAACTGTGAGGAGTTTATGATAGTTGCAGTTCACTTGAAACGGATCAGCAATGATGATCATCTACGCCGGGCTTTCCACCATTTTGACAAGGACAACAATGGGTACATTGAGTATGATGAGTTACGAGAGTCTTTGTTTGAAGAACACCAAAATTCACACAACGAAAAGCTTGTCCATGATATCATACATGATGCCGACCTTGATAAGGTAATTTAATTATTGAGAGAACAACATATTCTATGTACAATACTCAAAGTAACCTGGAAATGTATTGATTCCATTATGAATGTGTTGTAGGATGGTAGGATCAGTTACCCGGAGTTTGCAGCGATGATGACGACAGGGATGGACTGGAAGATGGCATCTCGACAGTATTCAAGAGTGATGTTAAATGCAATTAGCGTGAAAATGTTCAAAGGTGATACAATCGAAGAGGAAGAGGATATTGAGATAAGCTGATCTATGATCGATGTCTTTAATTTGTTATGTGAAGTAGTACATTTTGGTTACGTAGAAAATGATTTAGAATTAATGAGTTAATTAATCATGTAACTGTCATCTCCTGAATTACAGCTTACAAGTTTTTTCCATAGTAACATAGATTCGGGAAATCTTATGATGTGTAGTGTGTATCGAACCTAAGACTTCAAACATGAAAGTTAAGAACAAGTTGGGGTGGTTAAGAAAACTATATATTCTAACAAATAGCTAAAAAAAACAAAAGAAAAAAAGTTGAAAGAAACAAGATTATGTCATATGCATAGCATCATGCCGTTTCAAAGCATGAAATCACATCCATTTGAAAAGAATAATTTCACATTGGTTATAATAAAAAAAATGTGTTATTGTATATGAAAGCACCGTTTGACCAACTGCTTATATAATTAATTTCTTATTCTTATTATCTAAAACTAAAATGCGGAAGAGATGTAGTCATTTCCCTATCCAAATTTCATATTATCAGTCTTATTATTCAATGGTATAATATCCATAAATATACACCCACCATATCATGTCAATCGTAAACAATTAATTAGTGGATAAGGTTGCCCCGAATTGACATTTATCATGATGAGAAGATTGGGTTACACTGCAAACTCTTTTTTGTTTATATAGATAAATATAAAATTGAATAAGTGGATATTATTAATCAAACTAAGAGTTTTTTTGTTTGGTTGTGTAATTTCTTTTAATAAACAAGGTAAATAAAAATAGAAAATCAATTAGGTGAAAAAGTATTTAGATGTGTTTGATAAAACTAGCTGAAAGCTAGAAACTGATAGTCGGTAGCCACTAGCTAGTGGTCGGTAGTCGGTAGTTGGTAGCCGGTAGTCTGATGTCTGATCTGGTGTCTGGTGCCTGGTAGTTGGAACCTGAAAAGCTGAAAGTTATAGCATGGTAGTTGCTTATGGTGTCCATGGATGACATACGGGTCAATTGTCAACATGATAGTTGCTTATGGTGTGATGGTATCACCCATGGATGACATATGTGTCATTGGTCAACATGGTAGTTGCTTATGGTGTCCATGGATGACATACGGGTCATAGGTCAACATGGTAGTTGCTTATGGTGTCCATGGATGACATATGGGTCATTGGTTAACATGGTAGTTGCTTATGGTGTCCATGGATGACATACGGGTCATTGGTCAACATGGTAGTTGTTTATGGTGTCCATGGATGACATACGGGTCATTGGTCAAGATGGTAGTTGCTTATGGTGTCCATGGATGACATACGAGTCATTGGTCAACATGGTAGTTGCTTATGGTGTGATGGTATCACCCATGGATGACATATGGTTCATTGGTCAACATGGTAGTTGCTTATGGTGTCCGTGGATGACATACGGGTCATTGGTCAACATGGTAGTTGCTTATGGTGTCCATGGATGACATATGAGTCATTGGTCATCATGGTAGTTGCTTATGGTGATCATGGATGACATACGGGTCATTGGTCAACATGGTAGTTACTTATGGTGTCCGTGGATGACATACGGGTCATTGGTCAACATGGTAGTTGCTTATGGTGTCCATGGGTGACATATGGGTCATTGGTCAACATGATAGTTGCTTATGGTGACCATGGATGACATATGGGTCATTGGTCAACATATATCATTTGTACCGGTTGTGTATTAAAATAGAAAATGATTTTTCTTTTAATTATGACTTTTGACAAAACTACCCTTACTAATTAAATATGAGTCATTGTATGTATGAGGACAAGTTGGTCATTTTATAATGGAAAATCTTCTAGGCGCCATAATGTTTTCCGACGAAACATGTTGTTTTTGTTCTTTACTCTTATTTCAGTCAATTGCAAACAACCCCAATTTCAAAATTCCGATAGTCAAAAAACCCTAAAATCATTTTCGCAGAATCGCTATCTTAGTGAAGGTTTATTATTATGGAAGCCAGTACTTCTTCGAAGATGCAATCAAGAAATCAAAGGAAATCGCTAATAGACATGCTTTTGGAAGTGATGGAGAAAATAATAGTCGACTTGGGAAAAATTTCAGCAGTCGAGGCTTTCAGGATGAAGAGTGTGTAAGTTTTGTCTTCGATCATTCTATTTCACAAGTGTATTTGAGTTGTCTTTACATTTTGGAGTGAATGTTGTGTTTCATTTGCAGTTGCAGATTCTTTAGCGAGGCAGGAAAAATGGATGAAGTATATAAACATATGGAGGTAGATGGATTACGATTTCATGGTTGGTCTGACCAGAAACATACAGTTGTCAACAAATGCATAGAGATGAAAAACCCAAATATTTTGTTCAGAAATGGATTTGTACGTTCTTATATATATGCATAGTATTAATTAATTTGTTTCTTGTTTTGCATTACTTTAACTAGAAATTATGTGTTTAATGTTTTTTTTCAAATGAAGTTATTTTTCTTAGAAGATGATCTTAAAGGGAAAACGATGCTTGAAGAAGCATCTGCATTGGGACATTTGGATTCAACATTTGTCCTGGGAATGATGGTGATGGCTGAAGGGAGACATAGGAAGCAGGAAGTTTTGGACATGTTGAACAATGCTTACCGCAGAGCAAAAGGTAAGTGGACTCTTAGAGCAACTTGTTCTAAGGTTCATCTCAACTTAAATAGGGAGGGGAGGAAACATGTACACTTACATGGCTTCCACAGAACTTGTGCAATGCATAAGTCTATAATTAGTGTGTCAGACGCCTTATGAATGGATACACATGGGTGTTTAGGTGTGAAATTTGTTTGTGGGATGCTTGTTTCGTTATGTTTTCTACGGAGTTTGGTATAATTTATGAGTAGTTTGTTGATATATACTTTTATATTATGACAATTAATGTTATGCACATTCTTTTGGTTTAATATACGAATATATAGTAATTTACTTGATGTTGTTACTTGATTAGTAAATATGTTGTGTTGTTAATAAGGGACTAAAAGAGTAAAAGTTTGGAAAGCCGTGTGGCAAAATGATAGTCAACAAAAGTTTACTACTCCTAAAGGATTTGACTGCAAGGACGAAAAGTGTGAAAGTCACTAAAGATTTGTGGCAAAAATCTAAAGGCACAAAAACTTAATCAAAACTTAAAAAAGTAAAAGTTATCACTTCGAGGACTAAAAAATGAAAAATTCATCAAACATTTGTGGCAAAAACCTAAAGAAAATGTTAATATGTATTAATTTGTAATTTGGTTTAATATCAATACATAAATGTATTCTATTTTGGAATTGGTAATTTGGTTTAATATCAATACATGAATATATACTAGTAATTTGATGAAATGTTAATATAAATGTATTACATTATAGATTATGATATATATGTAATTTTTGTCTTTTCCATTTCAACAATCAAAATTCCACTTCCATTTCAACAATCAAAATTTCACTGTTACCTATAAAAGGTTATAATATTTTAATAATGTGTTTTGACACAAATACCCTTAGTATTCACATATTTTGAATGATTTCAAGGGCACTTTGGTCTTTTTGCACTCTAAATCGTTAAGGCGCCATCATACCTCTGACGTCACACCGGCGTTATCAGTTCTTCAACCATTCAGAACGTCTCAACTTTTCCGGACGATAAATCTGCATACAAACACTAAAACCCCCAAATCGTCGAAGGGTAATCGTTCTTAAAATCGATTTTCTCCGATAATAGAGACTCATGTACTCCTTGCGACCAGATCATCATAAAGTAATTTTTTTTTCCATACCCTGTTACACCGTTTTTCATAGTTACGCTTAATTTTTAAAAAGAAATTGAAATCAACTACTCCAATGTCTATTTTGTAAGTAGAATGTCGAATACTTGAAGTTTTCGTTCGTTAGATGATCTCCCATTAGAGATTTTGAGTCGGATATTTGTAGTATTAGGGTCAGAATCTGCGAAAGACATCGTCTCTGCAAGACTTTGGTAATTCTCATTAAACATCAACTAATGAATGTATATTTGATGAAATACAACTTTATTTATTTGTTATTTACTGTGTATTTAAATTTTCGAAGTTCAAAAAAGATGTATGAAGTGGGGGGGTGATCCTCAAGTGTTCAGAACATCATGCATTGACATGAGTGAAGGAATAGGTCCCAAAAATCTGAAAGTTGATTCATTTATATGCACATGTGCATTGCATAATAACATTGAAGCCATGTTCAGACAAGGAATTATATGTGTAATTTCAGTAATTATATGTAATCTATACCATTTATTAATATTTAGTGTCATTGATGTTATATATTGATATTGTTATTCTGTCAACAGGATGAGTGCTTTTATTATGGCAATTTTGATTTAGGATTGACTTTGTTGAGACAGACAGCAGATGAAGATCATCTTGAGGCAATTTATTTGCTTGGAATGATCTACATTTCAAGAGGGCCTCATCAATGTGATGAAGGTATGTATATATGGTATATATGTAAACTAAATTATATATATAGTTAATTAAGGCATGTTTGTAGTTTGGGGTTAGTATTTAGTTGTGTTGTGTTGTATAATATTTAATGTTGTATTGAAAAGGATACATTGGATTAATTGATGGATATTTTAATGTGTAGGTTTACAATTACTTGATGCCTATTTTGGCTGGGCAGTTCCGGATGATGGGGAGTACACGGGTGTTTGTTGATGGGCCAAAGAGTTATTGCGGGCTGTTGATGTTGTTCATAGACTTACAATGAATAACATCACATTCCAATGTGAAGACCCACGTCATTCTGTTAAAGGTGCATTTGCAATAGGCCATGAAGAGGATGAGGATCGACAAAGATATTGCATGGTTTGTCGTTGCTATGTAGAGTATGGTAGGTTTTGTATATTTCTTAAAAATATAAATGGTTGATAATATATTGGACATTGAATATTAGTGTTCATATTGTATTGTATATGAAGTTGTATACTACTATAATTTTATTTTGGTTTTATGTTTACATCATTCTGTTAAAAGGGCATTTTAGTTATTTTTGCTTGCTATGTTGTTTGAGTAGGATGAGGTATACGTAAAACCCATGTTA